AAATATGTTAATAAAAATCAGTCAAAAGTAATTATACTCGCTCTCCCCGCTCTCTCTCTCTCCCTCTCATATCTCATCTCTCTCCACTCTCTTTCTCAGCGTCCTAATTCAACATCCCTATCACGACGACGAAGACGATTCCACATACCAACTGAGTTCTGGAGAGAATCAAATTGTTGGCAAGGGTTCGATGAGAAAGTCATCACCTCCATCGCCTCAATAAATCCGCCATCAAAGTATGGGCAAACTAGGTTATTTTTCGGTTAGCAACGTCGTGCGAAACAGTGATGCAGTTGCTTTAGTACCATCATATCCATTCCTTTTTTTCCCCTTTTTCCTGAGTTTGATTTCTTTGAAATGGATGCTACGGAGTTATTGTTATGGTGGTAGTAGTGGTCGATGGTTTTTGAGTTTTTGTAGAAGTTTGGGGTATGATGGTGCTGTGGTATGTGGTGCAATGGTGTTGTGATGTGCGGCGTGGTGTGGTTGTGGTACATTGTGTGGTGCAATGGTGGTCTTTGTAGTTGGTGGTGAGTGTGTTGGTGATGATAGTGCATGTGGTGGTGGTGGTAGAGGAGAAAAGAGTGGGGTGCGATAAGGTGAGATGAGGAATTTTTGTGATCAATTATTTGGGAGACTATGACTAATAAAATAGTTAATTTGATCAATAAATAATATGTAAATGATAAAATAGATAATTTGTAACCAATAAATAATAGGTGATTTAAAAATGTGAGGTTGTGACTAAATTTGTAATCGTGATTAACAATTCGCCAAGTTATGACAATTAATTTAATAACTTATGACGGTGAAATAAATTATGACCTATAAAATTTATTATTTGTGATCGCGAAATAATTTATGACTTATTAATTTGATAGTTTGTAACTAATAAATAAATTGTAACGACTAAAATTTGTGATTCAGAAATAAATTACCTCTAAAAATTTTTATTTGTGACCAAAAAATAATGCGTTACAAATAAATTTGATAATTTGTGAGCAATAAATAAGTTGTGACCTAAAAGTGTGTAAATGTGACCAATAAAAATTATGATTTGTGACCAATAAATAATATGTGATCTATAAAATTTATGATTTGTGACTATGACGTCTGTAATTGTGACTAGTATATAACTGTGACATTAAATTGTATAATATTGTGATCATAATTTATTTAATTAATAAAATATTTTTAATAAATTAATAAAATTTAATTAGAACCTAATTTTTGAAATAATAAAACTAATTTCTTAATTTTGAAATTGTGTTTTGCAACGATCTTATATTTGTATTGTTCCCATATCAAAATCATAACTAGGCAGGATAAGGAATTTTATGCCGTCTCTTGGAGTTGCCAAATGCTTAAACAATCGGAGGGGTTGTGACGACTCTCCCAACAACCTAGATTTTGTGAGAATCGCAAAGTTGGAAGGACTCATTTGGAGACACATTTTTGGACTATAGAAGTCTCCATCTTTCATTTATTCATGGTTGTTGGTTCATCTCCTCTAACAAATTCTGTCGAAACTATCACATAACAATTTTTTCAAAAAGAATTAAAATAAGCCTTGGACTTGACACAGATTAATCCGTGCCGAACCAAGGTAACCCAGCAAGACCAATACTATTTCGAGGTCATCAACACATTTTATCACTTGTCACCTTTTTATTTTCAAGTTAAGAAAGTTCTCTTATCACATCAGCAATGAGAAATTTTTAGCATACTCTCGTGTCACGTGGAGCAACAGATCAGAGCTGAGATAAGGACTTAATCTAATAACCCCAAGTTCTCCCATCGCCACATAATCATACACCCGCCCAGTCTTAGTGCGTGATTGTGGGTTGGAATTCAGGCAGGCACGCTCGAAATCAAAACATAGTAAACAAAAAATTAAATAATTCCCAAACTGAAAAGACCCCACTTTTATGGCATTCTTAAAACCTTTCCACCAGTACACCACCTGACCACCATCCTTTTCTTCACATTAGCTTTCTCCTTGTAAAATTTGTAAACCTTTACAATCCAACTGGGATCTTTTCTTTTCTGTTTATTTGATTTTTTTTTGGCAAATTTCTGCTGAATTTTGATCAAATAATCATGGAGGAACGTGAGTTGTGTAAGTAGAGTGTAATTTGATCGATATTGACCATTCTTCAATGGTGGAGTTTCAATGTCACTGTTATAATCATGAACAAATGGATCTTTCAGGTCTGTATCTATTTACACAGATACAGTCATTTATGCATGTTTTAAATTCTATGCAAATTTTTTTTCCTGGGTTTGTTTCTTTTGTTAAAATTGTTGTTTTCATAATCAGATTTTATTAATTGTTAGCTAGAATCATGTTCATTATTGGATTATCTTCGTGGTATTTCCACAGGTAGATGGAGGAAAAAGAAATATATATATATATATATA